AGTAATAGTAGTAATAATACTAGTTTTAGTAACAACAGTAACAATAGCAGTAATTCCGGCATCTCATGTGGCCATCTATGTGAAGGAATCCTAGGATTCCCGACTCATGGACAAAATCCTGCATGTCCTAAGTATAGCATGGTGCCCGAATCCGAAAGATCATGAGCTATAGTTTTTTCTTCTTAAAGGGGGTTTTATAGAGGATTACATAGGGGAGTATTGTAGAGCTTATTAAGGGGGATTTTAGGAGTTTAGACTGCAGCTCACATAAGGTCATGCAAGATTTTGTCCGTCAACAGAAGCCCTACCTTAAACCCTGGACACTGTTATGGTAGGTGGTGGGACACTGCGATGGGGACGCCAACCCACACAGCTTGGTCTCCACGGCGCGGAAGTTCGATGCAAGCCATTGTGCTGAAGTTTTAATGGGGAGCTTCGTGTGGGAAGTTGTCAAAAGCCCTCTCGGGGGGACTAAAGCAATTAGGGCTGATTACAGTGGAACGCAAAAAAGGCCAGAATGTTGACAACCGAACACACGAAATGTCAAGTTGGTTAGGGCTACCCTAGGGCTCCATGTAGGTACTATTTATAGGGTTTAGGGCCCAATGTAGGTTTTATTCATAGACCTAGAGCCCCAGGCGTAGAGACTTTGGGGTTATAGAAGCCGTCGCTGGAGCGGAGAGCCACATGGGGGTTTCCCAAAATTAGGGGTACTTGTTTGAGGGTCCCCATAATAAGGACTATAGTATTTTTGGGTGTATATTGGGGTCCCTTTATTTTGGGAAACTACCACATGGTTACTGCAAACTGCCCCCACAAAATCCTTTGCTAACCGCATCCCACAAACTGGTCACCCTAAACCTGCTGTACTGGGTAGGCCCCTGGGATATTTGAGATTTTCCCTAATGGCTTTAATAAGGGACCCTATATACTAATATGTTTCAAAGGGTTTTAGGGGACAACCCAGTGTACCATCGAAAGCCCACTGCATCTCCAGCGCTGTGGTTACAGAGCGTTATGTGGCAAACTACTTGAAATGCGTGGCCTTACGCTTTCGTGAGTCAGCACCACTTGTTGAATGCCTTGGCCACTTTGGAATTTTTGAGCCGCTGTACTAAACGTGTTGCCCGATCCGGTTGCAATTATATAGTTGTTTCATGATCTCGCTCAGTTCGACTATTGGAACCTAATTTGATCAATATGTCGCCTAACCTGGTTTCCCAAACTATTTTTCCACATGTGCTGCCCAACGTGAGGTAGCTACTTTACTAATTGTGTTGGCCGATTTTGTGCTTCGTTTTACTAGAGCTGCTTTTCGGCGTTGAACGGTTGATTTCGTCAGTTGGTTCCTGAAACTGCTCTACTACGTGTCTCGCCGGATTTGGTCTTGAACAACCTTATCAAATTCGCGGCTAGATTTGCCACGTGATTTTCAAATGTTCCCCCGGATTTTACCCCCAAACATGTGTTTGAGCTAGTGTAGGGTTTAGGTAGCCCACAGCTACATGTGAATTCCAAGGTGTAGACCCAGAAAAGGGGAGACCTAGTTTGACAGCTTTCATGTGGGTGGCACTTGCTTCGGCGCATCCAGGAGCAGTATGCCGCGTCGACAACTCCTTGTCCCTCTCAAGCTTCACATATGAGCTATAGTCTAAACTCCTTAAAGGGGTTCATATAAGAGATTATATAGGGGATTACTGTAGGGGTTTTTAGGGGGGAGACTAGGAGTTTGGACAATGGCTTATATGGGAATTCCAGAGAACCAGGCGCCAGGTTAGAAAGGGAGACATGGGGCTCAAGACTTGGAAAGAGCTGTCAGCGCCTTCCACCGAAAAGGACATCTAAACCCCCAACCCTAATCCCTAAACTTAGATGATCGGCTGAGAGCGTTTCGCAGGTTTATGGCTCTTTGGCTTTTGCCGTCAACAGCTCTTCTTGCCGCCATTCATGTACGGCTTGGTTTTTTTTCTATGTCCCTTTCTATATCCCGAGAGCCAGATGCTTGCAAATGTTTGTCCGGGGCATCTAAGTGGTAGTCGGCGGTATGTCGGACAGTTCCCGTTTCCCCGAGCAGAAGCGGGAAGGACAGCCTATGCCACCGTTCTCGAGAGCACTTGAAAAACGAGCATTGCCTCAAGTACATGCGCGGGTTGCTAGAAGCAGGCATGGAAGTTGTATGGTGTAGCGCTCAAGCAACACCCGCAGTCTGTCCCTCACTGCCGACAAACACTACTGACACTCAGCACTCCAACACCGCCCGAGCGCATTCGTTTGGCGGGAGCAACTGGCAGGCTCCGCATCGCCCAGCCCGTGCTCCAGCTGTAAATATAGTGTTTTCCCAAAATTAGGGGTGCCCATTTAAGGGTCCCGATAATAAGGGCTAATTCTAGTATTTTGGGGTCTATATTGGGGTCCCCTTATTTTGGGAAACTACCATATTGCAACGGCAGCCAGCCACCTCCCTTTGCCCTCGGGACTGAGCTTGAGAGGCTGTCAGTCGGCAGGCCTTGCGACAGGACACAGCTGTTCCGAACGACCCCCCAAACGGCACTCACCAAAATCCGACAAACATCGAAATTTGTTTGGGGCCATGGTAATGTCGTTGGGATCTGGGGCAGTTGAATGTAATTGCACGGGTTATTGCTCAACCCGTCTTTGGTCTTCTTATTCATTCAGGATTTTTGTTGCGTACATCGCTTCCAAAGCCTGAAACGAATCTACTTACATGTTCAACGTGTAGCGCTAAGCAGCCTGCGCTCCCCAAAAAGATTATGGAAAGCCATACGGGCCCCAATTGAATGGATGGGTTTTGAGGCTTCCATCTTGTTTTGGGGGCAGGCAAAGCCCAGTTCCGCACGACCGCCTCAATCCTAAACCCTGAGCCCTAAGGTGTGGTTGATCCCCGGCTTTTCGTGGAGAAAGTACCAAAGATCACCAGGAGAGTCTGCCAGGCCACCATTTCTCTAGTCTACACCACTCTACTTGTAGGGTCAGGGCGGCTTAGCAAGTGTCACCTAAACTCCAACACCTAAACCATAGCATTCAGGGTATCTAGGGATAGTTTACCCTAAACCTTAAACCCTAAGCCCGACACCCTAAACACTAAGTTTAGGGTGGTCAGCAGTATACTTGTTAAGCCCCCTTAGACCCGGCGAGTAAGCATCACACCGTTACAGAAGTCTAAGATTGATGGTGAAGATATTGAGGCTCAGGTTCGGGTTTAGGATTTAGGGTTTAGTGTTCAGGCGGGATGTGGGGGTGGTTGATTTGCCCTTGTTACCGATTTCACTGCTCTTGCAGTGCTTTGTTTGTGTTTTCCGTCTTTCGTGGGTTTGCTGTCATCATCTGACTTCCGAAGCCCTCAAACTCAAAGCCCTGAACCCACAGCGCTAAACCCTAAACTCAAACTCAGAACCCTAAAGCCTACACCCTAAACGCAAAACCCTAAACTACTAAACCTTAAACTCGAAACCCTAAAGCCCTAAACCCTAAACCCTAGGCTCAACACCTATATAAAATCCTCAAGCCTTATGTAGACCCTAGACTCCAAACCCCAAAGCCTAGACTGAAGACCCTAAAGCCTCACACCCTCGACTCTAAATTAAAAAACCTCATGTACAGAACCCTAAACCTTAAAACCCAACAAAAAACCACCAAACCCCAAACCCTACAGCCCAAGACCCGCGCTTTAGGGTTTAGGGTTTAGGGGTTTAGGGTTTAGGGTTTAGGGGTTTAGGGTTTAGGGGTTTAGGGGTTTAGGGTTTAGGGAAACGCAGGCACCCGGGCCACTTTGTCCGGCACCCTCCTCCTCCAGCTTAGCGCCATCCGTGTGGCTGGTCGCTGCTTGTTCTGGTTCCTAATTGAGCTATAGTCTAAACTCCTTAAAGGGGTTATTTAGGGGAGGGGATATTAAGGGGGATACTAGGAGTTTAGACTACAGCTCAATTGGGTGTAGGGTCTGGGAGTTAGGGTTTAGGCTTCAGGGTCAGTGTGTTGAAGGTTTGGGGTCTAAGGTTTTGGATGTGTGACTTACAGATTGTGAGTTCATATTTCAGTTTGGGCTTCAACAGAGTAATAGCAATTGAAAAGCATGTTCAGCAATGCCTCGGTGGGCAAATAGGGGTTTCTCAGAATTATGTGTAAACGGAAGATTGTGTGGACCCAGAGCCTCAGCCCTCAACCCTCAACCTTGAACCCTAATCCACCCTCAGCCCTAAACCCTAAACCACCTTAAACTCTCAACCCCAAACTCCGAACCTCCCATCTTCAACCCTCAACCTCAAGCCCCAAATCCTACTGTATGTGGACTGAGGATGGAGTAGACCTGAGGCCTGTAGCCGTCGCCTTGACCAAGTCCTTCAAGCAGTTGCAGGACTGGCCGAGATGCTGGGAGCACGTGGCACTTGATCTTACATGGAAATCCTTCCTTAGCCTTTTTAAAGGGTTTTTTGAAGGGAGTTGTAGGGAGCCCCCCCCACCCAACGGTGATGGTGCTTGTAAGAATACCATAAACCCCGATGCTGAAGCCATCAATCCTGAAACCTGAACCCTACCCTAAACCCTAAACCCTAAACCCTAAACCCTAAACCCTAAACCCTAAACTCCTACACCTTGAAGCCCAAACACCGAGAGCTATACTCGAGACCCTAAGCCCCAATCCCTAAGCCCTAATCCCTAATCTGTAAACGTTAGCAATTCTAAGCCCCAATCCCTGGACCCAAAATCCCCAAACAATAGCAACGTTAACCCCAAGAACAACCCTAAGACTCCATCTCTCCAGAACCCAGGCACACGCGCTACCAACCTACTACCGGCTGGCCGTTCGCAGACGGTGCAAGTTGAGCAAAGGGCTGCTGGATGTAAACGTCTGGAGTTTAAGGCTTGGGTTCAAGGCTTAGGGTTCAGGTCTTTGAGTTTAGAGCTCTGGGGTTCAGGGCTTTGGGTTTAGAGCTTTTGGGTTCAGGACTAAGGGTCGATTTAGGTTTACGTCCTAAGGTTTAGAGCTTAAACTTTGGGGTCAGAAAGCCCCCGCCTATCTGGTAAAAAAACATTCCCCTGATATCTACTTCTACGACGTCGGGTACGTTCATGATAGAGAGTGGAGGGCTCAACATTTTTGTGGGAAGCGGTTAGTCCTTAAGCAGGGGGTTGCTTCTGGAAAGCGAGGAAGATGATACACCCTTATGCATTCAAGGTCCAGGTTTGTCGTATTTTTCAGATGAGTATATGAGTGAACACAGGACGATTACAGCGGGGATCCACATACCCAAAGTCTACGGAGATTGACTCAATCTCGTTTCTACTGTTTTTTTTTGACAGCGGTTGGGCGAAGATGAAGTTCAGTTGAGTAACGTTTTGCAGTATACTATGGTCGCACAATTTCGAGGAAGATAATATCACCATTTTGGTGGAAGTAATCCGTCAGAAGCACAAAATCGAATTCGTAGTTGGTTTAACCGCCAAGAAGCAGCATTTGATTGAGGGTTCGAACGCGATCACAGCAATGGTGCTAGCAGTATTGATGGCAGGTTGAACAGGCACAAACCCCTCAGAAGGGTTCAGACTTTCTGTTCAAGGGAGGTCTTTACAAATAGGGTGGTCACCATGTGTGCAACATGGACGGACTGAAAGCGTGATGTCTGTCTCATGCTTAGTTCAGAAGGAGGGCATGGGTTAAAGGCACGGTTTGGAGTGAAGTTGGGGAGTTCTAGGGAGAAGACTACCAAAAACATGAGCACGCGAAACCCAGCCCCACGGCAGCTCTAAACTTGACACCATGCGGTTTAGGGTTTAGGGTACTAGTTTAAATTCAGAATGATACCGGTCCCTATGGTGACGCTTTATGGTATTGCGGGTCCGTTTGGCATTAGGAAAATGAAATTTACGCCGAGTTGTGGTAGCCTGCCTTTTCGTTCCCATTTTTTTCAGTTTGTGCGAAGCCTCGGCCTAGAACCCAAGCATAGCAGCTTCCATTTTTTCTTCCATTCTCTACTGTCCAGCTCCCTGAGGCCCCCATCCAGGGGTTTGGCGTCAAAAACCCTTAAGCCCCTCTTAATCCCTTTTAGCCCTGCCTCTTAACCTCTAAACAAGCCCCTTAAGCCACGCTTGACCCCAAACTATCAACCCTAAGCCCGTTTAGCGTTTAGGTTTTGGGATTTTTTCCAAATCCTAATTCCAAACCCCAAACCCTAAACATTTTTTTCTCCTGAGGCTTTTCGCAGTTTCAAGCCCGCCGAACACTCCGGTGGAACGGCAAGATCGCGCCTTGCAAGTTGCTGCGGACCTAGCCGAGACTTCAAGCCGCTGGGGCTTTAAGGTTTGGGTTTAAGGGTTTAGGGTTTAGGGTTTAATTAGGGATTGGGTTTAAGGGCTTTAATTGGGGTTTAGGGTTTAGTTAGGGTTTGGGTTTAAGGGTTTAAATTGGGGGCTTAGGGCTTAGGATTTAATTAGGGTTTGGGGCTTAGGATTTAATTAGGGTTTAGGGTTTAATTAGGGTTTGGGTTTAAGGGTTTAATTGGGGTTTAAGGCTTAGGATTTAATTAGGGTTTAGGCTTTAGGGTTTAATTAGGGTTCAGGGGTTTAGTTGGGGTTTAGGGTTTAGGGTGAAGGGGTTGGGGTTTAGCCTTGGGGTCAAGAGTTTAGGGGTATATAAGGGTTTTGAGTGTAGGGTTTAGGATTCAGGGCGTAGGTCTGCAGTTTGGGGTGTGGGGCTTAGGGCGAAGGGTAAGGCTGAGAAGTCGATCTAGGGAGCCCCTAAACCCTAAACCCTAAACCCTAAACCAGTAGGCATCCTTGGTTTAATTCGTCACAAAGCACAGTGTAGAAGCAGATTGAGGCAAGAGCGAGAGCTGAGGGTCAACCCTAAACCCTAAACCGAAAGTCTTACAACTTACGTTTCTACAGTACCTTAAAAAGAAAGAACTCGTCGAGTATGGGGCCTGCAAAGGGATCCTGGGATTGTAGATGCCAATTTTTCGAATCCCCAAGCCCCAAACCCTAAACCAAAGCCTTTGTTTTGGTAAGCCTTTAACGTGTGGATCTGGAAACATCTTGCTGGTCTTACAACATGTCTTAAACGTTGGAATTCGTGCTCATGCCTGTCAAGACCCTAAAGCTGAACCAGAATTCAGAGGAGCCCTGTGTGCCCGTGCTGCCTCAAATTTACACACTGAGAAAGTTGAGCATCCTCTATCTGGATCACTGTTAGGGAACTTTACAATGACTTACCAGCACATGGACGTATACTACAAAAAGCGGGTTTCCTAATTAATCATATTTCAACCTGGGCTGATATGGTACAGAATCGGGTTTCCTAATCCTAGTAGTTAAGTTTAAGCTCCTTAGCAGCCACCCTAAACCCTAAACCCTAAACCCTAAACCCTAAACCGCGTGGGCCACCCCCCATGCTGCAGGCACCAGTGGGCAGCCTTGCTTGATACTGGTGGATGGGGTCCCCTTCCTCCTCTCAGAGGAGGCGGAGATCGAAGCCGGGGTGTCTGGTTTAGGGTTTAGGGTTTTAGGGTTTAGGGTTTAGGGTTTAGGGATCTCACAGAGGGCATCTACTTGGAGGTTGAGGGTAGTTTCCACTTTCTTTTCCATCATCCCTATATAGTCCCAATATACGAAATAGTACCCAAAACCCTCAACCCCAAAACCTTAACCCTGAAGCCTAAACCTTAACTCCTAAAGCCTAAAGCCTAAGCCCCACTGCACCCACAGCAATTTAAGGTTGAAAACATGGGCCCCTAGTATGGGCCCTTACCCTGGGATCCTTATATACCTACTATATACCCTACATGTACGCTTAATGGTGTCTAGAACTAAGGGCCCATATTACGGGCCCATACTCCTAACCGTAGAAGCAAGCCGTCAACCCCCAAAACCCCCTAAACCCTAACCCTTAAACCTAACCCCCAAAACCTTAACCCTAAACTCTTAACCCTAAACCCTAAACCCCAAACCCCAAACCCTAAATCCTAAACCCAACCCCTAAGCCCTAACCCCTCAACCTTACAGTAAGTTATCAACCCAGGAGCTCCTGAGCGCAGCCAAGAAGGCGAAGAGCCAGCAGGCCAAGTCTCAGGATCTGGCGACTGGGCTCAAGTTTGGGGTTTAACGGTTTAGGCGTCAAGGGGTTTAGGGTTTAGGGGTTAGGGTTTAGGGTTTGGGGTTTAGGGTTTGAGGTTTAGGGTTTAGGGATTAAGGTTTTCGGTTTTCCTTTGGAGTTTAGGGCTTTGGGTCAAAGGTATGGGGTTTAGGGTTGAGGGTTAAGGGAAATTTCAAAAACATCATCCACAGTCCCAGGATTCCTCTGGCAACAGTAGTCGCCATATCCCTGCAGTGCCTGAGGACCCACCATTGTGACGGATCCCCAAACTCTAAACCGAAACCCTAAGCCCAGCCAGATGTCAAAGAAGTGAGGAACACTTTAGAACAACCGGGGATTAGTTGGCCATGGTATGAAGACCGATGAGGAAACTCGACGGTCGTCAGTAAGAAAGATTGGAGCTACTCGGGTGGAGTTTAGGGTTTACAGTTTGGGGTGGTAGTAGGGAACGGAGGTAATCGCAAGAAATCCCCAGGTAGTATACAGAAGCCCTGATCCGCCTCTTGTGCTGATCGATGGTGAGTACTTCGCAAATACGGCTGTATGCGGTGGCCATAGCCTGCTCACGGTGACGATGGCCAATGACGTTGGGCTTCTCTGCAGACTCCCGAAGTCTTTAGTAAAGGACACGCCGGTAGTTGAAGGGGAGTCAAGGAGTAGATCCATTGTACGACCTCCTGACATATTCCGTACTAGTACCTGTATTCATTCCCACCCTGAAGCCCCAAACCTAAAGCCCCTGAAGAGGAGCGGAAGCAAGAGATGTGGGCTGGCCGCCCGCGATACGGCCAGAGCGCGGTGTACGTCGTCACGCTGGACATCGGTTCCCTGCGCAGCCGAGGGCTAGATCTGGAGCAAGCAGTATCTTGGTGAATTCAGGGGCCTACGTCATTACCCATATTGTGGTCCTAGAGCCCTTACATCATTATGGTATAGTACAGGGTACCGCAGATACACCGCATAACTACATCAGCTAGGCGGTTGCGTAGGTATTTAGGTGGGAATGTGTAGAGGTGATGAGGCTTAAGTATTTCATCATGGACAACCCTAATGTTGTGACGGGCATGCATATGGATAGGTTCAGAATCCTGGAATAATTAATTTACAAAATAAATACGAAAAAAAAACATAGGAATCCAAAATAGGAATGGCTGCCAAAGTTTAGGAAAAATTCAAAAACATAGAAAAATATTAGGAGATGGTGATTGGCCAGCGGATCCAAATAAATAGGAGCAAAATAGGAAAATAGGAAAAATAGTAAACAATTAGGAAAATACAAAAAAAAGGAAAAACAGGAAAAATAGGAAAAATAGGAAATGCAAGGAAAAAATCTATGTTTGTCTTTTTTTTTTTTTTTTTT